CAGGAATGCAGAAAAAATTCCCTTTGGTTGCTTCATCATGGATTGAGCAAAGCCTGTAGGGGAAGTGGTGGAAGGAAAAATGTGCTTTTTTTCATCCTCACACTAGATGCAACTTTATGAATATACCGGGAAGGAACTGGGGGACTGAGACAGATTACATATCCTGCAATAAATGCTTGCAAGACACGGCATTCCCAGTCTCTCAGAGGCGGGGTTTTTTTTTTTTTTTTTTAAAAGGGTTTGAATAAAAAACTGCAAGAAGTGTGATGTTGTAGAGGAGAGCCTGGGGAAACAAAATCAAGCCTAACATAAAAAATGGTACTTTCTAATATGGCAGGATCCTCAACCTATTGTGAGACAGGAAAGGGCTTCATTTAGTGCCCATAACTGAGGAGCTCCGTTAAAAGAAATTGAAAAGTAGTGCAGCTTTTGTGATTATACTAATGTGGCTTTTTCTGTCTCTTGCCTTCTCATGTGGTAAAACCTGAGCCGCTTTCTGACAAACAAAGAGTGAATAAGTGGCAAAAGAAGAATGAGGAGTTCTCATTTATTTTAAAAGGGAAATGCTTTACTTTGCTTTTTTCCACCTGTGAGGAGAAGCATCTTGAGCGGTTGTGGAGTTGGCTTGTTAGCTCCTTCGCGGAAGTTGTTTGGGCAGACGTACTAATGCTCCGTAATGAGCAGTACAGACGAGTGTCTTTGGCGTGGCAAGTTCCAGTTGATCCCAGGAATGGGTGCTTGTTGCATCTTTAGGAGCCTAGTGATGCAAGTTAGTGATTTATAATCTCACATACGTGATAAATAACCATAGCAAGCATATGTGTGTATGCGTTTATATATTAATCATTGACCGCTTAGATTTCCCCGGAGACCGTCAGATGGCTCAAACAGAAAGGAATGAAACCTTTTTCCAGTGTTCCTAATCCAGTGCTTTGATTACCTTTCTCAGGGGACATGATAAATTCCTTCTCTAAAGTGACTTCTTTTCTAGCTGTGTTTTTTCATGGCAATATTTGAAGCTTCTACACCAAATTATCAAGTGGCATAACATGATGACAAATCAAACCTCAGTGAGTTCCTTTATAGTAATAGCATTTACTTTGCCAGATATTATATGAAGAGGTGGCATTGCATATCATGTTATTTTATATCTTGTGCATTAGTATATCTACCAGAGTCTAGATGTCTCTAACTCGGTGAAAATTTAAAGTTTAATTCCATTATATCCGTTTAATCCATAGAGATGGGGGGTTTGTTACTTAGCTAAGAGACTAGGATTTTATGACCTATCTTTATAACTAAAGCTTCTCTCACATTGCTTTAGTGACGTTAAAACCAGTTTATTCTCTTCCTGCATCTATATTAGCGTCTAAATATTATATTAAAATATTTCAGTCTTGAAAATAGTTGTTTTATTCAATGTGGTTTTGGCAATAATGATACAAAGGAGTTGTATACATCTTGCACAAAAACGTATTTTCAGCATATTTACTTGAGTGCATCTTGGAAGCTTCATTAACTTGGATGAGTTTGGGCTTTTTACATGTATCTAAGAAATCAAAAGAAAGCAAAATATTAACACTTGTGACCTTTAGGCATATTGGTAATTCCTAAATCTTGCCCGATCACCTATCATTTTTGCAGAGATTTTTTTTTTCCTGTTTTAAGAAATTATTTTGTATTCTATTGAGTTTTAATAAATTAAACAAAAAGCCCTCGTGAGTTATCTCATAGGAAATACTTTGTGTAGATTGTGTTTCCAAGCACACTTTTATATTTTGTCATAGTATAAAATAACTCATATAAAGAATTGCACTGTAATTTTTCTCCTTTTTTGTATTGTCACTAATGTTCCACAATAGTTAAAATAGAAAAAGGCCTTTTTATTATAGGGAACCTGAATTGGTAGCTGCTTTGCATGCAGAACATACTGGCTTCAATGGGAGTATTGCTCATGGAATGATTGCAGAACTAGGCCCTGAAATTACCTTGCCAGCTAATGATAAAATCGCATGCAGGCCACAGGGGTTTTTGTGGAATA